CAGGATATTAAGGATCAGGGAACAACTAATGGGAACCTTAACCAGGACCATATAACAGAGCAAAACCATGAGACTTCAACTACTCCAGCCATCACAACCCAATCATTCTCTGAGTCATATACAAAGACTGAAGAACCCATTGCTGAGACTGTCAATTATGAAATACCACTAATCACCACACTAGAAGATTCAGGAATAAATACTGTGACAAATGCTGAGCCTGAGACTACTGCCAGTCTACATGACACGGACGATTCCTCTTACGTTGTAACAACTCTTGATAGCACCCTTATAATTACTACCAAGATGGGTTCTGTGATTCAAGAATACAATGATACATCAGCAACAGCACCTGAATTGACTACCTCTCCCATAGATCATGAAGACATAGAGGTTAAAATAGAAGCAAATGTAGCATCTTCAGATACTGCGACATCTGACGAACAAGTCTCAGAAGAGACTGAAGTAAAAATCTTTACAACAGAAACAACCGAAGGGGAAGAGACTTCAACACCTCCACTATGCCCTACCAATGCCCTCACGGAAAAGCCCACCTCTGATACTCCCATCACTATTACGACATCTACCCCTCTTACGGAACACAGAACCACCAATCTTAAGACTTCATCACAGACGCCAGATGCTGAAAACATTGCCAACAACATAGAGTCTGATGTACTGTCTGGTCTGATCGCTTCCCAACAAGAGAACATTTCTAATGATTCTCTGAAACCAACTGGGCCTCCCTTGTATATTATATGTTACACCAAGGTAAGAAGTACGCTGTGGGTCATAACTGGATGTCAAAAGAAAATCTAACCCTTATGTACATGATTATGCTGAATACACTGAATTTTCCCTAACATATATACTTTACACAAACAATTTTCTATTTTTTTTTTTTCAGGAGAGATTTCTTCAGAGCTACACAACCATCATCTTCATCTGTATATTTGCTCTGCCACTTCTAGCCACCACAGGATTAAATTTGTACATGGCATGGTCACTCTCCCACTACAGACACTCCAGACTTACTGAAACCACAAACAGCAACTGGTTAAAACTGCGCAAGGCTGTTCTCCAGGTGAGATTAAGTAAAAACAAGTCCAATGAATATAATGCTTTCAAATTCTAAATATTCATATTAAAAGTTGTTCTGAAGCATAATAAGGACCTTTAGCAATCATTTTCTAAACAGAAGATGGGGTTCTACATAATAATGTGGGAAAAAAATATATAAACAATGATCATATTAAACATGGGTAGAACACAAGTTTCACTAAAAAGGTTAACACAGTGAATTAAAATGATCAAACAAGTAAATGATTTACATAACAAACAAATATAAAGAAATGACAGCATAATGAAATATTCAGTGAAAAGCAACATTACTTCTCAAAATTCTATCAAGTTTTGATCTCCAGTTGTTGTTAATCATCATGATAATAATATACAAAGCAGTACTGGTACATTATTAGGTCTATTATATCTATCCGGGTACATCAAAGTAAATGGGTGCTTTATAACCGAGGCAAGGCATGAAATCCCTTTAATAAATGTAATAATCTATAAAATCACTACTTAACTAAATAAAATTTTCTGGATGTTTATAACTTGTTCCATTAAAAGATTTTTTTAATATATACTTCTCTTCTATCAGAAGCATATACATCATATAAAAGATACTTGTTCAATTTTTCATGATCTTATGTGAAGACTTTACAAAAAAATAAGAATAATACTATTCACTTCTCTTGAATAATTCAATGAATGATTTCATCATTAATCACAAATTAAGATACACAGACAGAATTTTAAAATCTCACCTGAGACACTTGAAATTTGCATTTTCTCTACACAATAACTCAACAATCAACCACTAATCAACTCTCATCTTCTCCCAGGCTCTCATACTCCTTGCAGCCAATGCCATCTGCTGGGTGCCCTTCCTCGTGGAGCGGCTCTTGTATGCCTGGGTGCCAGACTGGGACTTCCCATCAGCTGTCCCTGCCTTGCTCTTCCTCCTCGGTCATTCACATACCGTTCTGCGCGGTCTTTTCTATCTCTGGCAGAATACTAAGGTGAGGGGGTATGTCTGGAGTCTGAAGAACGTTGAAACTGTATTCTTCTTTTAATTTTTCCTTCATATTTCCCTGGAGAGAGCTCACATCTAATGGGGTATTATGAATTTTATAACTATATTGTTTATTCATGTCATGGTGACTGTACATGTATACATAAATCATATATATGCGTTCAAGCTTTTGTTTCTATTCCTTCAAAGCTTTCTAGTAACGACTATCACTCACTCCTTTCGTAGGTCCAGAGCCGTGTTTCTCCCGAGCCCATCAGACCAGCATCTCTACCAGGAATGGAAGGCTCTCCAGTCGTTCCAATGCAAGTCACAACGATGCAGCCCTCGGAGGGGGACCATCCCTTCCTCGTTCCTCATGCCATGGAGAGTGACATCCCTTCACCAAGAACGGCTAGACTAGTGCCAAGGGAACCAATTGCTAGATCTCTGAATCCTTCCCCTAACTCTACAAAACTGCAAACTCACAACCAATAAATTAAGCACATGCATTGTATGGCAAATAAAGTGTTCAACAGAAATACAGAGATATTTGAAACATACAATATATATCAAACACAAAATGATAAAAAGATCATTGGTCTATCCAGCAAAGCAGAGCTCATACTGGTTTCTCATTTAAGAATAAAATATTTTTTTGTATGCCTGTCTTCTCTTCTGTGGTCTTTGTTCTTGTACAATTCTACTAAAAAATTATACCAATTGGAAAAATAATAGAAGAAAATGTTTAATCCAAAGATATTCAAAACCCAATACTTTGTTTCTGAACTTGTATATCTTATCTTCATATCATAAGTAAAAAATATCAGAACATGTACAAGTGATATCAAATAAACTAGCTATTTGACTTTAAACACCTGTTTCTAAATACAAATAATTATGTAACCTAATATGCCTAAATGTATTCCACTAAAGTATGTATAACTAAGTAAAATAAGATATCGGATTTTAATACTGAAAAGACAATAAGATTTGCTTTAAATATACACTAATATATCATGTACTGAATCCCTTCAAATCCAATATTAACGTTATCTTACATCTTAAGGAATCACAAAGAAATTCCTACGATTAAGAGAGAAAAAAAACAAACTTATAGTAACATCAAGATACAAATGAAAGTTTTTAAAGCAACAGTATTAAACTTAATAGATTCACACTCCTAACATATCAATAAAAAAAAATTCCCTATGATATTACTAGTTACATAACACTGTCACCTGGCACAAAATATCCAATAATCACGTTAATTACACCCGTGAACAAATATAACAAAGGAATAACGATAAAAATAACTTTATTCTCCAAGGAATGAATTTCAAAGGGAGAGATTTTTCCTCAAATTCCCTTCCCTCACAAAGGAAAATAAAGGAAAATGAAATCTGAACAAATATCACAAAGCAATAACAATAAAAATAACTTTATTCTCCACAAAAATGAATGAATTTCAAAGGGAGATTTTTCCTCAATTCCCTTCATTCATCACAAAGGAAAATAAAGGAAAATAAAACCTGAACAAATATCACAAAGCAAATAACGATAAATAATACCTATATTCTCCAAGGAATGAATTTCAAAGGGAGAGATTTTTCCTCAAATTCCCTTCATTCATCACGAAGGAAAATAAAGGAAAATAAAAGAAAATAAAGGAAAATAAACCTGATTCCCCCCACAACACCACCCACACCCACACCTTTACCCACACTCCTCAACCTTAATAACCACCCCGATCAAAAAAATAAACACTACCACCCATAATTCCAAAATAGAACTAATAATAACTCTAATATATAATAACCTTAATAAATAATAACTATAATAACATTCACGAATAACTTGGGTCCTACACAATGGCTCGCTTCTCAACCCCTCTATTCCCTCCATTTTAACGCCTTAATATCTCCTTTAGAGCTTTAATTAACGAATAAAAATGGTATTACGATCCCAATCCTTCTATAATTAACCAATTCTTACTTGACTCCGCCTGGTGAGAGAGATATTTAATTAATTGTTCATTCCCAGCAATAGTAGGAGACGATTCTTTACTGACACTTGTAAACAATGGCATTTCTTAAGAGAACTCTGATGTTGCATTTCTTAATATTTATTTTTCATTTTATTTATGTTGTCTATTTTAGTTTGTTTTATTTTATTTATCTTATTTTAGTTAGGGATTTTTATTTAGGGTGTGAGGGATTTAAGAAAAAAAAAATTGTGCGAATTATCCGAGGTGAGGAGAGAGAGAGGGGGGGGGGAGGGGGGGAGAGGGGGGGAGAGGGAGGGAGAGAGTAAGAGAGAGAGAATGAAAGAGAGAGAGAGAGAGAGAGAGAGAGAGAGAGAGAGAGAGAGAGAGAGAGAGAGAGAGAGAGAGAGAGAGAGAGAGGTGAGTCGTGGCGGGAAATTCGAAATGTAAATGGAAGAGAACGAGAAGTTTATTCACGATGTATAGTTATTTTAGCACAATGAGACTAATGAAAGAGTTTTTTTTTACGGAGGTTTGGTTGCGTGAACTTAAGCTTCTACTTACGTCAGCGTAAAACTGAAATAAAGGGAAATAAGTGATTTTTTAAAACTCACTCACTCTCTCTCTCTCTCATTCTCTTTCTCTCTCTCTCTCTCTCTCTCTCTCTCTCTCTCTCTCTCTCATTCTCTCTCTCTCTCTCTCTCTCTCTCTCTCTCTTTCATTCTCTCTCTCTCATTCTCTCTCTCTCTCATTCTCTCTCTCTCTCTCTCTCTCTCTCTCTCTTTTTCATTCTCTCTCTCTCTCATTCTCTCTCTCTCTCATTCTCTCTCTCTCTCTCTCTCTCATTCTCTGTCTCTCTCTCTCTCTCTCTCTCTCTCATTCTCTCTCATTCTCTCTCTCTCTCATTCTCTCTCTCTCTCTCTCTCTCTCATTCTCTCTCTCTCTCTCTCTCTCTCTCTCTCTCTCTCATTCTCTCTCATTCTCTCTCTCTCTCTCTCTCTCTCTCTCTCTCTCTCTCCATCAATCATTCCCTTATCTCTACTTTATTTCTTTATTCACTTAGTAACACTTAGTAAGCGAAATATATTCCGAATTCAACTTACTAAATGAAGCAAAAACTGTACTATACAAATCGGTATCAGAAAAGGTAGTTATATAGAACAATAACAACACACATAATGTTCACTTAGACAAATCAACAGCCTCAGTAAAAAGTATTTGTTCATTTATAATAATTTAAAACAGTAAGTAAAGATATGTATTTGATCTCTTTTGATTATGTGTAGTGAAAAAACAAACAAAACAAAAGAAAATATATTTGTCCATTTAGATCGAAATCAGTTTTACAATAAATGTATATTTTCATTTAAGGCCGTGGGAATCCAAAAGAAAATATAAGGTAAAAGCAACAAAAATGCCTTTGTTTTAAAGTAAATAAAGAAAATTGTTTATTCGCTCGGATAAAAACAACAATAAATGTCTTTGTTTACTTTAAATCATGTGAAGTAAATAAATATAATTATTCATTCACTCGGAATATGAAAAAACTCTTAATTATTTAGACACAAAATATAGCAACACCAACACACACACACACACACACACACACAATAATTTGCTTATTTACAATTACAGTAACAAATAATCGTGCTTTTCATTTCTAATCATACATAACAGCAACAAAAAAAAAAAACTCTTTTCCGCTCACACATTCAACAATAAAAAATATGTAATAAAACACACAAGAAATAAATAATTCAAAGAGTATTTGTTCAATAGTAAACAAAGCCAATAACAACGACGAAAAAAAAGCTTTGTTCTTCCCAGTTACATGCACTATAGAAAAAAAATACTAATACAACAACAAATATTCACACGCAAACAATAGAAAACAACAACACTAACCCATACTTCCTGTACTTATCAACTTGCAACCAAAAAACAAAACAAAACAAAAGACGATCTAAAAAAGCTGTATTTGTTTCACCTGCAACAATTACGCAGATGGCAACACGTGGCTCGTTGCAGCTGCCGCTCCTTTGCAGGAACCGGATGTAGTTTATGGCGCCTCGGTGCCGTAGACAAAGATAGTGAATGGAATTAGATGCAAAGAAGGAAGGGAAGGAGGGAGGAAGGAGGAGAAGGGGAGGGGGAGGAGGCAGGAGGAGGAAGGGAAGGAGGGAGGAAGAGGAGGAGGAGGATGGGAAGGAGGGAGGAGGAGGAGGAGGAGGAGGGGGAGGGGGAGGAGGAAGAGGAGGAAGAGGAGGAGGAGGAGGAGGGAGGAGGAGGAGGAGGAGGAGGAGGGGTAGGGGGAGGAGGCAGGAGGAGGAAGGGAAGGAAGGAGGAGGAGGAGGAGGGGAGGGGGAGGAGGTAGGAGGGGGAGGAGGAGGAAGAGGAGGAGGAGGGGAGGAGGTAGGAGGAGAAGGAGGGGGAGAAGACAGGAGGAGGAGGAGGAGGAGGAGGAGGAGGAAGAAGAGGAAGAGGAAGAGGAGGAGGAGGAGGAGGGTGGAGGAAAGGGAGGAAGGAGAGCAGGAAGAAAAGGAGGAGACGTAATAGCAGTAGTAGGAGGAGGAGGGGAGAGGAAGGAGAGAAGGGGGATGAAGTAGAGGAGGAAGATAAGTAGGAGGAAGAGGAGGAAGAGGAGGAGGAGGAAGAGGAGGAAGAGGAGGAGGAGGAGGAAGAGGAGGAAGAGGAGGAGGAGAAGGAAGAGTAGAGGAGGAGGAGGAGAGGAGGAATAAGAAGAGAATTAGGAGGAGTAAAAATATACCGTAGAGTTATATATATATATATATATATATATATATATATATATATATATATATATATATATATATATATAGAGAGAGAGAGAGAGAGAGAGAGAGAGAGAGAGAGAGAGAGGGAGAGAGAGAGAGAGAGAGAGAGAGAGAGAGAGAGAGAGAGAGAGAGAGAGAGAGAGAGAAAGAGAGAGCAGAAGGAGGAAAAGGAAAAGATAAAAAATGCGAAACAAACAAGGAACCAAAAAAGAAAAAAAAAATACGACTCCTTAAAAAAGGAAATTTCACTTGACCGTTTTTTTCTCTCTGGAATTTATATATAACACCGGCAGACCATTGCAACAATCGTTATTATGTTTCCTTATTTTCATTTTTACAAGATGAACATCACATCGTGAATATTCATAAAAAGATCAGAACTTATATCGTTTATATCCATATAGATGACATAAAAAAATAGATTTATAATTCATATTATATTTAACGACTTTGACGGCTCAAAATCTATTCGTTATGCTAACCGCTCGAATGGTCAGGATCATGTATTATATGAAAACGTATCGACTTTACGATAAATAATAAATAAATATTTGAAATCGGCTGCAAGTAATAATGCTCACCCAAGTAGATTACACAAGAGTGTAATCTACTTGGGTGAGCATTATTACTTGTAAAGTGATATTGTATCGGGAAAAGCTATTATTAAAATATGTTATAACTGAATATCGCGAGAAACAAAAAAAAAGAATAGCGAAACAAAATCGAATAACAAATAAAAGAAAGTAATAACCGTTAAATAAAATAAGATTACAAAACAAATTTTTTGCATTTATCAACATGCGACTTTACATATTGCAACACGTGGTTCCGTGCAACTGCGGTTCTCCACAGGAAACGGATGTTGGTTATAACGTCTCAATACCGTAGAGAGAGAGAGAGAGAGAGAGAGAGAGAGAGAGAGAGAGAGAGAGAGAGAGAGAGAGAGAGAGAGAGAGAGAGAGAGAGAGATACAGACTGAAGACAGAGCAAGAGAGAAAGAGAGAGAGAGGCAGGCAAAAGACAGAGCGAGAGAGAAAAAGAGGCAGATAGAAGACAGAGCGAGAGAGAAAGATAGATAGGTAGGCTTACAGAAGACGGAGAGAGAGAGAGAGACAGAGAGAGAGAGAGAGAGAGAGAGAGAGAGAGAGAGAGAGAGAGAGAGAGAGAGAGAGAGAGAGAGAGAGAGAGAGAGAGAGAGAGAGAGAGAGAGACAAAGCGAGATAGACATTACCACCATTATTATTCTAATCATTCTTAATATATTGGGTACCATTAATATTATCATTATTATGACTACTGTTACTGTTATCATTGTTATTCTTACTTATTACCATTACTATCATTATTGTTATTATCATTATCATTATTACTATTATCAATACTTTGATTATTATTATCGTTATCATCACCATCATATTATCATCTTTATTATCATCAATATCATTGTCTATATCATCACTGCTATTATCACTACCATCATCAGCATTATTATTAAAGGTAGCAGTACTATAATTATCATCATTATCATTACTATAATTATTATCATTATCATTATTATAATTATTATCATTATCATCATTATCATTACTATAATTATTATCATTATCATTATTGTTATTGTTATCATCGTTATTATCATTATCATCATCTTTATTATTATTACCATCATCGTTATCATCATTATCATCTTTCTTATTATTATCGTAATCATTATTACGATTCTCTCTAGTTATTTGATGTTCCTCGGCTCCCTCCCGTAGCTCCGAGACACAGGCAGCACTTTCCTCGATATGGAAGTTGTTCGGGTGGCGGCCGACAACTGAACACTTACGATGGTGTCTGGTAGATCTCAATTCCCATGCCAGGTCTTCGAGAAGGTTCCGAGGGATCCTATTATTGCTAGCGCCACTAATGAAAAGTGAAATGGCTGATATGTACACTGCCTAGTTAGGAGTTGGTATATGCTACTATACGCAATAAATAAAAATTGAGACCCAGGAGTATGTAGGCTCAAAACTTTCTGACCACCAATCTTGTATATATATACGAGGGGCTTCAGAAAGTTCATGGGAAAAGGACAGTATGAAAAAAGGGCTTCAGTTATGATGTTCATTTTTCAATTTATAGTCCATTAAAGTCAATACAGTTCTGCAAACTTTGATACCAGCCTTGAAGTCCGTCTGAATAATACAGGGTCATGTGATCTGAACCGTGTCAGAGCAGCTCTCGTTATATCTTCAACTGATGGAAAATTGGTACCTTTCAAAAAGATAGAGTAAAATCGGGGCTGTAACGTGGATG